TCTGTGTTTCAGCCATGCTATATCCAGTATTTTATTTTCCATCTTAAACTTCCAGGCTCGACGTTTTAGCTTCTTTTTCCCACCATTTCTCCCTTCTTTACAAGAGGTTCTTTTTTTTTTTTATGACACACTTCCGGTGATGTCAGGGGGTGTGGCATATGCTAATGAGTTATGCTAATGAGTTCCCCTAGCTCTTTTTCTACGAAACGACCCCTGATCAAATGACTCCTTAGAATAGCAAACATGTTCCTCCCCAACACTCTGGGCTGTACCAGTTCTTCCTTAATTTCAATATCCAGTTGTATACTCTGCCGTTTTTCAGTTACATTCACACAAGCCTCTTCAAACCCTTTTTGTATTCCCTTCTGTATTCCTTCTCTGAGTAGTTTCAAAAACTGCTCAACAGTTAATTCTCGCACAAGCATGTTATCATCCAACTCATCCTCCTCATTGGCCTCTGCAAGAGCCATTTTTGTTACACAGTTCATTCCAACTCAAGTAGTGCAGCTTTTAATTTGAAGGTTTTAAACACCATCTAAAGCTTTTAATCACCATTTAGGGTATCTGGCTTGATTGTCAGTCCTTATCAACGAAGTTTTTTCAACCCCGTAAGCAAAAAGAAAAAACCCGTCAATCTTTCCCTCGTTCCTTGTCTGGCCGCTAATCACCTCTATCTTGGGCTCACCAACTTGGGGTAACTTTGTCCAAAGTCTGAGGTCTTGGCTATAGATAGAATTAGAAATATGCGTACTCACAGAGTCCCAGTGTTGCTGTATACATTAAGAATCCAAAAAGCAAAAAGTTAAAACAGAGGTCACTGTTGGGCATGGCGGCCATGCCTTGTTCCGTCTGTCGCTCTCAGGGCAGTAACCACCACATCCCCGTTTTTTTCAGGGCAGTAACCACCACATCCCCGTTTTTTTCTATATGCGGGGGGCCGAAACAAGCCCCCTGCAACTCATTCTTCCTCCAGGGGAATGAGTGGGGGGCCCCCCGAAATCATGGGGGGGGCTCCAAAAGAGCAGAGGAGGAGCGGGCATCTCCGGAGCAATCCGAAAAGCCTCACCACGTCACAGCGCCGTTACTGGAAGTCCCCTTTATATAGTCAGATCTGATGGTTTGTTAACACAATTGATGATGATGATTGACCACTCTCAATGTTAAGAAAAGCAATTTTTATATTAAGCTAATACTTTTATAAGCAGTGTATGACCTCCAACTCTTGGGATTTTAGTGGGTTTTCTTTTCTTTCTCCTATAGTTTGTAGATCTCCTCCCTAATTTTGTTGTAGTTTTAAAAACTGTAAATAAAAAATCCCCTACAGGGGGCCAAAAAGAAGAAGAAGTGTACTAAGTGGTTTTCCTGAGTCCTCATCCTGAATCACCCAGGGGCCGTGTTTTAATTAGGATTAATACTTTTGTGTGTAATTGAATGATATTCAGGCAGTTGATTTATTACCAGGTTCTCCAGCCCTACCCAGCAACATGGTGTATTTTGGAAGCTCTCAGGATGAGGAAGACGAAGAAGAAGAAGATGAAGAAACAGAAGATGCTAAGGTAGCTTCGAATAATGCTTCGTCTTCATGCCATTCGACGCCCAGGAAAGGGAAAACGCAGAAGCACGTTCCAAATGGACATGGTAGGTTACTGAAGATAAACATTATTTGCCTTTCCTGAGGTTGTAGTAGGAGATATTTAGAAGCTATCAGAGTACTGATCTGAGTTTTTTTGTCCTGCGGTAGTGCGAGATCATGGCCATTTTTCATAGTATGAAAATGAAATGGTAGCATCCTTCACTGAATCTACCCTATTTGCTCGAAAGGAAGTTGATTTTTTAATGTAAGACGATCCTCCCTTAAAAAAAAGAGGTTATGCATAAAAACAAGTGGTCCCGAATTTTAAAATGACCCTTGCTTTACACAAGTAGCAATATCAGCAATATACAGTGTGCAGTACACAATCCATACTAGGGAAGAAAACAATTACTACACTTTTTACACTTCTTTGAATGGTAACTCTTCACAAGCAGGACTGGACGGCACCGTTTCAAATTTTAAAAGGCAAGAGATGGATTTTTTAAATGACCCCCGCTCACCCAAGAGCCACACTACTAGGCAAAGGCTGAGATAATGACTAACCAACTGGCAGGGCATTCCTAAACAGAATTACCTTTCTAAATCCATTTAAATTAGTGGGCTTTCCTCGGCAACGCGCTCTTAAAATTGTTTTTAATGGCTGGCGCAGGATTTGAACCCAAAGTCCTAGTTTTTGTCCAACCACTATACCATTCTGGCTCTCAGGAGGACAGAGCAATTGTTTTATTTTAAAGCCTCGTGTTAATTTCATTATTCCATAATAATATTCCATAATTATTATTGCGATAAAAATAGTGATGTTCCATAATCACTGTATTCTAGCCATCTAGGCAGATTTTGAGCGTTTCTCTATACCTCTCCTCCTTTCTGAACCAGCCCTGGGAAGACATGTGTATAGTAAACAGTCTTATTTTCATTTCTGATTTGAGACCCTGTTTTCCTGGTCGCCAGGTTAATATGTTATCACTGTCGCTAATGCAACATTTTCGTTCCTGTAGCATCACATCAATTACTTTCCTGCAAATCAGCAGGGCTTGCCTTAGTCACAACGTATTTTCTTCACGTGGCCTTTGTGTCATATCCAGATAAATTGATCAGCACTTTTGTCGCAGGGGCTTGAAAAATGTATTCGGCACCAAGTCGCTTGGAGCCCTAAGCTTGAGCAGCCGGAATGAAAAAATACCTGGGCTACCATGACCCCCCCACACACAAAGTCATACATATTCTATTGACATTGGCAGCACCTTCACAGTGAATCACTTCTGTGTTCTTCCCCTAAGACCCAGTGATAAGCTCTCTCTCTCGCCTTCCGCACCTTCTCTTGCTTTGCTGTGCCCTGTCAGCTATGCCTGGTCAGCTTCCTTTGGCAGAAGGGAAGGGTTTCTTTTGCACAGAGAAGGAAACACTGGCCGTAGGTGTTCCCTGGCCATTGGGTCCTCTGCTCTTTGCATCCGCTGAGGTTATGAAACCATTTTTCTTCCCAAGATTTCAGTTCCATTGTGCAAAAGTTTTTTTTTTGTTTTTTTTGAAGAACTGCTGGCGATAAATAACGCTGTAGAAGGAAACGGTTTTTATCACCAAGACTTTTGCCAAGGTCCCTTTTCTTTCTCACAAGTTATAGGAGACATCGCAGAAAATATACCTTCCCTGGTTATGAGATTATTGGAATAGAGTGGGCGGTTGCTTCCGTAATTTGCATTCTTAGAGGTTCTCTAATCTTTCCCCCAAGAAATATACATAAAATTTATTACAGTGGTCATGCAGTAAAAATTAAAGAAAGGTGTACAGGGAAATGGCATCAAATATATATCTGTCCTCAAGCTAGTAAACGGGAAGGGGGGAAATAAACTAGACTTTTCGCTAGTTTGAGGACAGATATACATTTCCTCTTCTAAGAGAAGCAAACAAGTTAGCCACCTAATTGCTACTGACATATTATTATTCGACAGAAAGTACGTTTTTTGGGTACAAGACCAGTGGCACAATTGATAGTGATTGCGACACGGCAAGGAGCCAAATGCAGGGCGTGATAAATTTTAGTGGTTAGGGTTAGGGTTTGGTCACCCTGTAGAAAAGTGGGAGAGCTGGTTTATTTTTAAAATAATCACTCAATGACGTTGCTTCATAACAGTTGACTAGCTCGTTAGTTGATGCAGCCCTAAGCTAATGATAGTACTGGAATTCTTATCATTTGTGCGAGTGTGTCCAGATCTTAAGAGCAAAGGAACCACAGAGCAAACAGAATGAACGAGAAATGTCTTTTCTGTGCATGTGCGCGCACTGAAGCTGTTGTTTGAGCCAGTTTGGTGTAGTGATTAAGTGTGCGGACTCTAATCTGGGAGAACCGGGTTTGATTCCCCACTTCTCCACTTGCACCTGCTGATGTGACCTTGGGTCAGTCACAAGCTCTGGCATAGCTGTCCTTGAAAAAGAGCAGTTTGTGTCAGAGTTCTCTCAGCCCCACCTACCTCACAGGGTGTCTGTTGTGGGGAGGGGGAGGGAAAGGAGTTTGTAAGCCGCTCTGAGACTCCGAGTGAAGGGCGGGGTATAAATCCAATCTCCCCCTCCTCGTCCTCCTCCTCCTCTTCTTCTTCTTCTTCTTCTGTCATTGACATTAGGCATTTGTGTGGTACTGTGTTTTGACTTAACAACTGTATTTTCTTTGCCCAGCTTTTAATCCAGCATGGGAAAGGTTGTGTGTGTCTGTGTGGCTCCTCTCTGAAATCGTTGCTCGTGTTGGGCCCCTGTCACGAGAGCAATGTGAAGCAGGTCTACTCACAGTCCTATTCAGGTCTATTCAGTGGGGCTTACTCCCAGGAAAGTGTTCTTAGAATCGCAGTGTATATGCCTCGTACATTGCGTCTGCGTCACTGCAACCTTGCTGCTGTGCCTGTGACGTGTAACTTCAAAACGTTGAACTTCAAAATGCAGAGAGATCATTTAGCACCATGACTACGAATATTGTAAGCCGTGTTCGTGAGTGATCCTTTCTTTCTTACCTAGGTCTTGCCTGATAACTAGGCTCCAGCTAATTTAAAGTAGCCGTGTCTTCTGTTTTGACATGGCGACCCCGTTGGGTTTTCAAGCCAAGAGACATTCAGAGGTGGTTTTGCCATTGCCTGCCTCTGCATAGCAACCCTGGTATTCCTTGGAGGTCTCCCCTCCAAATACTAGCCAGGGGCGACCCTGCTTAGCTTCTGTGGTTGGGCTATCCAGGTCAGGGCATTTTGATAGAGCTCTTTTTTGTTTCTTTATGACAAGGTAGCTATGAAACGTTTCACCTAGTGCCTGTTGTCTTTTCAAAGAAAAGGCTGAACGAAAACTAATTTCCCGTCTTGTTCCTCTCTTCTTCTCGCCCATTGTTTTTCTCATGAAACTGTGTTCTCTGTTCCCAGTCTTCAATGGATCTAACAGGTCAACAAAAGAGAGAGAGCCTGTTCATAAACACAAAATCAAAGAAATGACACCAGCAAAGGAGAGAAACAGTGAACACAGATCCGAGAGCCGAAAAGACCAGGCTGCTGCTAATCACCATCCCACAACAAACATGGGCTTCTCCACAAAAGGGCTCACTGCTAACCACCATCACACTCTTCATCGATCGGCTCAGGACTTAAGGAAACAGGTAACCTCCTGGGATGCCGTTGGGTATGCTTATGTTAAGATTCTTTGCGTGTTGCCTCTTTCCGTATGAAGGACAATGCTCACAGGCTTCTAATGTTTGGTATGAAGGAAAATGCTTGTAATACGTAAGATACATAGGGTTGCCTTTCTGTAAGAAGGTGACTAGCAGAAGGAAGCCAGACACACGCCGATAGAGATCTCGGGCGCTTCGCACTTTTGTTGCCTCTGTCGCCCAAGAGGTTCTATGTAATATACGTTTGGAAATACGCATGATTGGTAGTTGGGATGATTTCACACAACCTTTCCACTTATCCTGATTTTTAGAAATCTCTGTCACATTGTGGCTGTCAGTGGGAAAGATGGGGGAAATACACTTAAGTTGTAATGGGAAGACAAATTTCACCATAATGAACTTACCATGGAGAATGTCCTAAGTTACTCACTTAATATGGAGCGCAGACAGGTGATTTGAGTTAGCAGACATATCATTTCCGCAGTGGCCTTGCCTCAGCTACTTTAAACCTTCCGAGAAAGTTCTGACTTCTGTGTGCTGAATTCCAGACAGCTAGCAAACACCACAAAATTTAGAGGTCCACATCTGTACAAATTCTGCCCCCTCCCCTTTGTTCCGATCTAACAGCGACCAATTTTCTTCTCCCTGTGGTAATGATTCTTGGAGAAGTTCTCAGGATTTTCTGGTACCTCCATGAACCAACAGTGGCCTAAAGCAAGGCTTTGTTTGGCCTGATGTTTGTTCAGCTGGAAGAGACTTGTAAAAGAACTGAATGTTTCTGGCTGTTTGCCAACTTGGCACTCCTTGAGCTAACTTCCCCATCCATCTGTAGTGTTTAGGTCAGGAGCCCCCAAGCTATCATTTGCCAATAATTATCTTTTCTGTTTAGAAGTCTGTAAATTTACACCGGTACGCCATTGTTAGGGCTCATATACAAAAAAGACATCGGGTTTAACACAGGTGGAACGTTTGTTTCTATTGTTCATATGACTATGCCTTTTTGCTCATGTGAACAGATAGACTGAGCAGGCTATGAAGAAGAAGACTCCTTGCAGTCCCAGAGTATAACTGAGAGAGCAGAGACACTCAGTCTTCACAATATCATTGGTGCAGAGATACATTATGTACTCCACATTAACAGTAAGCCTCCTGAATGGTCCAAGAGAGCTTGGGAAGTAGGTAATGTAAGAGGTTTCACGCAGCACAGAGGGGTTTGTGTACGTCTGGGAAATCAACAGGGCCAGTCACTATAGTGCAAAGAGCACACAAATCAGAAGGTGCGAGAACTTTGTGCTCAGACTTGCTGTAGATAACCTGGAGAGTGATTCTGAAGGCATGGTTTAGGTTTCCATCCTGAGACCGAATCCGTCCAAGGATTTTGTTTTGGATAAAAATTCCTTCCACCGATTCTTAAGACTGAGTGGGGGGTTAAGAAGCATAAGAAAGGAGCATAAGACATTCGTATCAGTCGGAAGGGAATAAGTGACAAGATAAAGTAGAGGAAGGAAATGTGGTCTTCGCAGCGTGATGACAGGGCTTCTGAGAAGCTGACACGACGGCTTTTGGTGGCTGTGATAGCAAGGCCTTCCTCAGCATCTAACTGGGTTTTTCCCACCCTCAGATTGGGGCGTCAGTATGCACTAAACACTGATGAATAAAGTAATGAAACTGGAGCAAGGGGGAAACCTGAAGCCTCCTTTCAAATATTAGGTGACTTTGGGTGCAGTCCGAAACAGAATCACACCCTTCTGAATCCACTGAAGTCAATGCTATAACTCTGCCTAGGACTGTGCCATTTGATTAGTATCTCTGAAGTGAAGGGATACTTTATTTAATTTCCCAAACTGGTCCTTAGAAGTAACCACAGCCACGGTCGCCTCATGGCTCTCTGGCTACATTTACTGTAGGGCTGTGACCCCCGTAATAGGGAAATAGCAGTTTTCACAGTATTGTCGAACATGGGAAGAGATGGTGTCTACAGCCTAGCACTAAATCACAGCACTCTTGTTTCCCAGTTAGTGTTAAATTGTAGGTCATGCTTGAAAGGAGGGAATTTGCTTTACTTTGGATCTGAGTTCCAAAACCATTTCTGTCCCCCCCCCCCTGTAATATGCTTCATGTGCTATAGATCTATATGGGTTTGTCTCTCTCTTTCCTTTCTGGGTTTTGTTACTCACATCCTTTCTCTTCCATGTTGTCTACCCAAATGCTTTAATCCCCCAAGGGGGTTGAAGGGAAAGGAAACGTAACTCAACGGGTCCCTCTATTGGTTTTGCAAGTGAATTGGCAAAATGTTTGATCTGTCAGAGGATATGTTTGGGTCATAGAGACCGTTCCATGTCTCCTATACCATAAGTTGAATTTCTCCCCCTTGGAAACACGAGGTTGTCCTTTAAAAAAAAAAAAAGGTTTTCCTCTTTTCTTTTTTCTCAATCTATAAAGTCTGAGAGGCTGCTCTTGTGGTATGTGTAAGAGCAACATAAAGCCACCCAGTTGCCCTGGGATAAGGTTTAATTTAAAGTTGGAGGGTAAAAATGAAGTTTCTTTATTTAGGAGAAAGGTTGGGGGGGTTTACTGTTGAGAGAGAGAGAGAGATATATAAAATAACATGACTGAATCAACGAGTGTGACTGGGGGGGGGATGAACAAAGAAAAAGAAGTAACTAATTGGGGGGTGTTCTTTGCGGATTAGTTTGTGCAGTATAACGAGTGATAATGACTAATGATCAATCACTGTTACTGCTTTTTACATTAAAATTGACTTCTTTCTTATGCGCTCAGTGTAAGCACTGCCCCGGGATGGAACTAGACTCTATGGCGATCCTGCGCAGCCAGCAGTGCGTCCATTTTATTAGGCTGGTTCACAAAGGTGTTGTGTGTTTTTGGTTAATGGGGGGAGACATGTCAACCGTAGAAAGGTAAGAAATTATGCCTACCATAATTACTTTTGCTTTCTTTAGCACTGGTTACCCCTTCAGGGTCCTGTAAAGTATGTATAAGCAAAAGAGATAGCCTTTTAATGATCCAAAAAATCCAAAAATCTGTTTGGCATGACCGGGTAATCTTTTCCCCTGTTATTCTTCTCTGGCTTGAAAAAGGGTTTTAGTAGCCTAATATATACTGTGACATGTTTTATTTTGTCCTGTGCATATTTGCTATATCTGACTTGGGGAGTATTGTTTATATGATGTATCTGAAAAATATTGCAAGTGAAGCAGGCCTGGCAAGACGACATTTATTCCAGTATTTTAGCCTTCCAGGGTCACCTCTCTGCTTAGGGAATGTTCCATTTGGAATCAGAAATGGAAATATAGGGAATATACAGCCCTATCCCAAATATTGAGAGGCACCACTCTAGAAGGCCGAGATTGTTTATAGAGTTGCAGGTTAGATCTGTGAAACAATATGTACCTGTGCAGCTTGGTAGCTGGCTCAGAAGGATCGAGATGGAACTTATTATTGAGGTACCTTTTACGTAACTAATTATGTTAGGCTGCAGTTTTAATTACCCAGTTTCTGTCCTGGCAGTTATTTTTATTCTGGTTTAAAACTGCTAGAGGATTAAAGTTGTGTGTGTGTGTGTTTGGTTGTTCTTGAGAAGAGGTTTGTTTTCCAGACGTCCAAACATATTAACAGAATTTCTGTTATATAATCTTACTCTCCCCTGTAGCCTTTTCTGAGACCACGGCTATTGCCTAGGGAACAGCAGGAGATTTCTTTTGAGACTCTTATTGCCGTGCTACATTCGTCTCAGCCATAGGCCAAGTTAAGACCAGGGTAAGGTTTTAAAAGAAGGAACCTCTGTGCCTAGGCTTCCGTGCTAACAATTCTATTAGATACTCTGCCAAAATGGATTCACCTCTCTTAAAAGATTGCTCTGGACCAGATTAGGCATCTAGACTTACACGTAGATCCTTCCTCCACCCCAAAAGTTTTTCTTCTCTTATTTTCCCTCACACTCTGCTCCTCTGAAGCAGGCACATTCTGTCTACCTTCTAGTCTCTTCTCTTCCCCCTAGAACAGTGGTGGCGAACCTATGGCACGGGTGCCAGAGGTGGCACTCAGAGCCCGCTCTGTGGGCACGCGTGCCATCACCCCAGACCATCATTAAAGTGTAGAATTCTCTGCCAAATAATTGTAAGTAAATGAAAGCATTTGGGATTGCTTTCCTTACTTTCTTTGGATCATCTTAAGTGAATGTATGAGTTGTTTTTTCTAAAGTAAAACCTCAGTATTCAGGTTAAATTGCCGTGTTGGCACTTTGCGATAAATAAGTGGGGTTTGGGCACTCTAAAAGGTTCGCCATCACTGCCCTAGAACCTCTTTTCTGAGCCCCCAAACTTCTCATCCAGTCTGCTATACCTTCTCTCCTGATCTTTTCCTGCAGGGTACTTACTGTCCATTGCTTCTTGGAACCCTCTGGGTAGGAGCAGTCACACCTCTGTATCCTCCTTGGGGGGGGGGAGTCATCCTAGGGCTGCCAAATGCCCCCGGGGGGCGGAATTCCCCCTGGTTTCGAGCCCCGATTCCCGCTCCCGCGGAATCGGGGCCCGGGGGAAAACTAACGTCCGCGTCACCTGGAAGTGACGTCGGACGCTGGGGGCGGAGCCACGCGCGCACACGAAGAGGACACCGGCCGGGAGCCCCCCACTCCCGGCCAATTTCGATTTGGCAACCCTAAGTCATCCAGGAAGTTGTTAGGTCACGCCTCTGGATAGGCTATGCAAATTTATTTTATTGTGTGGCTCCTATTGGAGGGACCTAGGCTGACCTCTCCAGTTTCTGCGTAGCCCTGCACTTGGGAGGTCGCCTGGAGCTCCATCTCCAAGCCAGGAAGCTTTCAGAATAATTAGGAAAAAAAGAGAAAAAAAGAGCAACACCCCGACTCTAAATAAATTGTTAAATGTTTTTATGACTGCATTTCAGTTGTTTGTTTTTACGGCCACGTCACAAAATCCCTTTATATGTAAAGATATCAAGGGAATCTC